TAATAATTTATAAAAAGTATTAAATGAGAAAACTTTATAAATAGGTTATAAAATTGATAAAGGAATATATAAAAAATATAAATTATTTTCAAAGTTTATAAATCAATTTTAAGATTCTTAAATAATGAATAAATGATAATAAAGATTTTAAAATATTTAACCACATTTAGTAATAAAACCCCTCAACTAAATATGAATCATAACAAAAACCCTCAACTAAAGATTTAGTGAAATAAACCATCAACTTTAGTTCTGTTAACATATGTTACCCTCCGTCTAAAATTCTGTGACGGAGAGTGACAAACATTAACAGAACTAAAATTGAGGGTTTATTTCACTAAATCTTTAGTTGAGGGTTTTTTTTACGATCCATCTTTAGTTGAGGGGTTTTATTACTAAAAACCCTTTAATTAACTAATATGATATAATCAGTTTTTACCCTAAAATAAAAGCATTAACCCCTGATCAGAACAAAAACTTTGAATTTATTTGTCAACTTTGATTCCTTGGTTATAGTTAATTATCCAAGAACGGTTATCAAACCATCCACTGCACTACAAAGGTTTGGAGAAGAAGAAAACAAGACACTCGCGATGGAACAAAAGAAAATAAGCGAATAAAATTCCTAACTTTCAATAGGAGTTTGTTTTCTATACATACCATATTTTCCAATAACACTGGTCAGTTTTCAACAAAACAAAGTTGCTATTACTTTACAACTTTGACAAGGATCCTTGACAAGTATTCTTGACAAAGTAAACCAACATCTATCCCAAGTTAGCTTTGTTTTTTCTTTTATTTAACAATCTATTTTAATATATGTAGAAAGAGTAAAGCTCAGAAACAACAGATGCATATACAAAGCTAAAACAATAAACTTGGGAAGTTTTCAAGCACTTCCTTCCATGACCTGAATCTCGCATTTGGGTGTAGCTAGAAGACGCAAAAGATCACCCCAGAGACGATATCTCTCCCCAGCATCAACTCCTTTAGGAGTAAAAACCCTAACCATTTCAAGACGTGATAAGTTCCTCAAGAAACGCTTCATTTGACTAAGTTCTTCACCAGTTCCTTCATACTTAGTGATCTCTAGAAATTTCACTCCGCTTAATGACAGAGAGGCAGACACATCATCCCAAGACACACCTTCACATGATCCTTCTTTAACATAGTGCACTAGACCCTGGAAACAAATTGGAGGTTAATATCATTGTAGATTCAGGAGTTAACTCTCTTTTTTGCACCATACCTTGATGATTAGAGTTTGTAGATTTATTGAGTTGATGAGCAGAGATGAAAGCATTTTCCAAAAGATGTATGGAGTGCCATGAGGTCGATCACTTCCCAGAGACAAGCAAATCAGATTGTTGAACACTGGTAGACTCCCTCCACTACGGTAATTGAGCGTCTGCAACACACACAATCATTAAAATCAATTAATCTTTTCTATCATCACTAACCAATAAAAACTACAAAGTCATGAAGCTAACTTAAAAAGGGACTGGACTCACATCTAGAGCATCCGGAGATAAGCAGAGGATCTTGACATTCCTGATCCCCGTGAGCAAAGTTGAAACATAACCAGTAACAAAACCAACATTGTCTGTAGCACTCTTGCGCAAGATTTGTTCACCTTTCAATTGAAGATCAAGCCTAGCTTCAACCAAGCTGTCAAAACGAATATTCTCATACTTATCAGCAACCACATCAGAATACTCCAAGTAAACAAGACCCGGAGTATCAAATGTAACACAAGGCTTAGGAGCAGAAGCATCATCATCACGTCTGTACACAAATGTCTTAAGCGTTGGACTTGAAACAGACCCATCCCAATAGTACCACTCCTGGGACTCATGGATCCTCAGGTTCTGAAGGTTAGGGAAAGTTGAAAGAATCAATTGTAACAGAAGATTGTCATCACCAAAAGCAACTGAGTCAAGGACGAGTGAGTTAAGCATCGGAGAGACAGAATCTGAAGGAGGCTGTAAGAAACGGATTCTTGAACCGATCCTAAGGTGTACAAGAGACTGGCTCGTAAGAACTTTGAAGGGCACAGTAAACCTGTAGTAATCGCAGCGTAGAGTAACCTCCAAGGCACCATGATCCAGTACTTTTCGTATCCACCCTATTATGACATTTCTTCGAATGTAACCATTACTTAACCTGAGAGAGACTTTCTTGACCGGAGAAGACGAGTTCTCGAATCGCCGTTTAAGAACACTATCCACGAACTCCGTGAAAACCGAAATTCTCTTTGGACCAAGTCTGCGATATCGTGAAACAGAGTCGTCAAAGTCGAGGATAGGTACCAGTTGAAGAAGATTCGACCATCTCTTTGATAGAAACAGAGCTAAAGCAGCCTCTTTTGTCGTCAAGAAAGCCAAGATTTTGCAGAGAACGGTATCAGGTAACGTGCTGATCACGTCTCTGGAACTTGGGTTCGGTTTCTTGTTAGCTTCCATTTTAAGAAAGGTCCTCTCGCTCTCGTGAGAGATCCTACACACAAGAGTTATACGAGTGAGAGAAGTGTTAGTAAAGGAGACGACTTTGGTGTTAAAGAAGACTATTTTAAAAGAAAGCTATGAAAACGAGACCTCCTACCTTCCAATGGAATTGACTCAAAAGCTTTCCAGATTCTTGAGGCGAGAGGATGAAACAGAGTAGTATGTGAGAAGAGGTTGAGATAAATATTTGAGCGCTAAATGCAATTATAATGTAACGATATTTAAGTATTCTCGGAGCGCTCCAAAAATAATTGCCGAAAATCAACATTTCTTAAACCGGTTAGTGGAAACGTTGCGTTTTATTGTTTGGTTTCTTTGCATTTTTTTGACAAAAGTGTTTTCAACTTTTCATTAATTTTTTATTTTTTTATTACATAAACACTAAAATAAGTATTAAAACTCACTAATTGGTTTACTCAATTGTGTATTTAGATACGCTATATCCCTATGATAAAATTCAAATTCTAAAGAGAAAAAAATTTCAAATTTCAATTTTGGATGAACCCAATTTAGATAAGATTGATAACAAAACTTGTCCAAACAATCAGTTCCAAAACAAATTAAAAAAAAATCCTAATCACCTACGGGCAATAGTCGTGTGGGTCGCCACATGGTGGGAAGCAAAGCACCAACAATTACACTTGACCGGAGCTCACACCTTGGTTCTGGGATAGTGCTGAAGGTGTAAATGTACTGGGTCCCACATTTTTATTAAAATTTCCTTACTGATTTAAGACCCTGATTTTTCAAGTTCTTTTTATATTAAATGCCTAATTTTCAAAATCATCCATAGAAAAAAAAAATGTATGGCACATGGCCCACGTTCTTTATAAGCCGGGCCTGCTCACACCCGGGCACTAAGCCGCCATTACTGGGAAAAATGAGCACAAAAGTGGAAAATTATTGCATGAATATTTAGGTTAAACCGATGAAAATTAGAACCCCAATTAATTTCCTTAGAAACCTTCACCACCGGGTCCAAACCAAAACATGCTAAGCGACCTCCCTAACCAATTTAATTTTGGTGTTAGTTAGGTCTAAATATTTTGGTTTGGTTCGGTTTTATTTATCCACCCTTATTTGATCTGATCGACACGGTTCACAATTCACTACAAAACCTGTCCTTTGACGGGGGCCTGAAGTGACGACCTAGCTAGTTTGGATGTTGTTCAACACAGTTGTGTACCTAAATTTTTCGAAATTGTTATGGATTTCGACTGCTGAGGTGATTGCCTTGCAACAGTTTCATAATTAACATAAGTGACTCTTCTTGGTTATTGTCTACTCGCAGTGTTTACTCCCCCGCCAAGTACCCCTTCTTATCCCTTTTTAACCACAACTTATCCCTAATACTCCCTCCGTCATCTTAGAAAAACGGCAAATGGTGTTGGAACTATTTTTATGAGCATTATGAATATTCAAAAATGAGTTTATTTGAATGAGAAATGAAGGTTCATGTGTGTGGTTTGAGAAACTTTTCTAAAGTAGCAAATACACATATTTGATATTTGATTAGATTTGGGTTTTGATTTTTAATTGGATTTCATGTTCAATAATTTAATCTTATATCTCTATAATATTATTTGAGAAGTCAGTTTCCTACGTGTCGCGTTCACGTTAACTCTCGCGATGGTTGATTACTTAGATACCCTTAATGAATTTTTAGATTTTAAGATTATTTTTTATATAGTTTCTTTTTTACCTTTTTCTCCAAATAACATATATAATAAAAAAGAAATATTTCTATTTTTTTTTTAAATGAAAAACGAATATACATGTATATAATATGACTTTATTAAAAAGGAAAGTTCACAAAATAGTAATACCCCCATTAATATATATTTTTAAATATAAAATATATTTTCAAAATAATAAAAATAGATATATGTTCATGAACGTCCAAAAAAATATATTTACATATCTTTTATTTGGTCAAAAAATATATTTACATATCTAAATACAATAACCAACCGAAATGAAAATAAAAAAATTAATCAAAATTTTATTATATTTAGAATACAAAATATTATAGCTGAATTCAAAAAATAGATTTTATCAAATATACCGAATTGATAACCAAACCGACTATTCATCCAAAAAGTAACCAAACCGACAATAATATATCCAAAGTCATATGTATAATTAGAATAATATAATATTTATTTATATAAATTATACATATAAATTGATTCAAAACTAAAATTAAATATCAATCAATTACTATAAAATTTTACTTTTATGAATATTCATATCCGTGCATGAGCACGGGAAAATCACCTAGTACCAAATATATGTTGATCTTTTATATTGTATAATATAAAAAATAAATCTATTTGAAAGTATATTTTTTAGTTTAAATAAGTCAAGGAACAATAATATTAATTTTTAATTTATTCGTCAAAATGTAGAATAAATTCACATAATAATTGATAAAAATAAAAGTCTCCATTATGGCACCATTGGAGGTTTCATTTCTATATTGAAAATGAAATTTGTGCTTTTCATTATTTTCAATAAAAAGGCTTATTAGAATTATAGAAAATATACACATTCAACAACAAAAAAATAATCTCTCCTTCTTAAAATAGTTATACTAGTATTTTTATTTTATTTTGTGTCTGAAATTACAACATAAAAAGAGGTTTTTAGCTTCTATTCCGAGTATCATGTCGATGCTAGACATGAGAGGAACGGCAGGATACATTGCCCCCGAAGTCTTTTCAAAGAATTTTGGATGAGTTTCTCATAAGTCAGATGTGTATAGTTATGGGATGGTGGTTCTTGAGATGATTGGAGAAAGAAATATAGAAAATGTTGAACATTCTGGATCTAACAATAGTTCAATGTACTTTCCAGATTGGATTTATAAGGATCTTGAAAGGGAAGAAATCATGAGGATTTTTGGTGATCATATAAACGAAGAAGAAGAGAAAACTGCAAGGAAAATGGTATTGGTTGGTCTGTGGTGTATTCAGACCAATCCATCTCATCGTCCAGCAATGATCAAAGTCATTGAAATGTTAGAGGGGACTCTAGAGGATATCCAGGTTCCACCTAAACCTCTCTTTGTTTACCTGCAACAACAACGGTTCCAGGAACTGTTGAAGATAGTAAGGAGACTTCAAGTTTCTCTTGGCAAAGTCAGTTTGAAAGAGGTACTGTCTCTGGTGAAAATACTTTACGCATTTCAGAAGAAGAAATAGTTCAATGCTCCAGCTCTAAACTAAAGTCAACACAGAGACTGGATCTTTTACAACCTTCGAGATCTTGAGATTTTTTGTTGGGTATTTTTATAAAGCTTCTGATTTGATTGTGTTGATTACATGCTTTTATGCAGACACCCAAACATCGTTGGTTAATATATGAAAGACATATCATTGTTGCTTCAGAACATATTATGAAAGAGAAAAGAAAAAATGTTAAACAATTGTAAAAACAGAACAAATCAAGTATTTTTGTTGAGAGACATATCATTCTTGCTTCAGAACATATCATTCGATACTTAAATAGTAATCATAAACTACATCACGGAACAATATTCATCTACATCAATCAACAATATTCAAAACAGAAACTTACATATTTAACTATCACTTGGAGCAATATCAATCTATAGTATTGATATGAGAAAAGATCACATTAGAGTCGAGCAACACTAGTAAACAGATGAAGCAACATAATTAAACTAGCGAAAGGGAATCAATTCAGGTAGCCCGGTTTATACTTCAATAACAATGTTTGTTCTTATCAATCAAACTCAGTTTTGAAAAGTCAGAAAATATCAAATATCTTAACTTGATCAAGACAAGAACAAGACAAACAAACAAAGGCTTGAGAAAAAAGGACAAGACACAAATTATTCTGTTCATCATATGAATGATTTAATATAAACCACACATGTCAATGATTTCAAAAGTCTTTTCACTTCTTTTAAGTCTCTCTGTATCTTTTATTCATGTTCTGTCTTTTCGTTTCTAATCACAGCAAAAAAAATTCTCTATTAGATCCATGGAATCTACACCGCCTGTATTATGTCTAATCCTGTTACTCTTGGTTCATCATCTTCCTTGTGTTATAAGCCAGCGAGCACCACGTGGGTTCTGTGATACTCTAATCCACTGTGGCAACATCTCTGTTGGCTTCCCTTTCTGGGGAGAGAATCGCCATGAAAGATGCGGTCATCCTTCTCTGAAACTTAACTGCAACAGACACTCAAACACAACCACTCTTTTCATCTCAGGCTACAATTACAGTCTCCTACATATAGACAACACGTCCAACATCATTCGACTTTTCAGACAAGATTTCTCACGTTCATTCTGCTCAGCTTCATTCTTATCCACACCGTTGCCTTCTGAGCTCTTCCAGAATTTACCTTCTTACAAAAGCCTCACCGTCTTCTACTATTGTGACTCTCGCCGCCATTTCTTTGCGAACTTCACATGTCCATATCAAGAGAAAGGTCTTGGCTCGCTTTGTCAAATCTCAAAGTATCATAAACTTTGTGAGAAGAGTTTTAAGGTCACAGTTCCTGCAAGTTACGTTCCAGATGAACAAGCTTTGAGTTTGACCCATTTGGAGAGTGTTCTTAAAAGAG